TTTTTTTTTTTTTTTTTTTTTTTTTTTTGCATAAACCCAACCATTTTGTGAAGGCTGAGATTTTAGACCATTAGTTAAAAACAAAAAGACCATAAAACAACAACAGACAGGTCAGGTAGAAAGAAAGCTATGGAGAAGATCAGGACAAGGAAGATTATAAAACAATATTCAAAGTTTTGAGCGTCTCACTGAGCATTAATCAGAGGAGCAGCCAAGAGGTCATTTCTGAAAAGCTGCAAAGATCCACAGCTCAGATGGATACTTTGACATCCACACTGTAGTGCATGGTGGTGGCTGCACAGTGATGAGGACTGCTGGGAAGATAAATGATGCCAAGAAAGGAAAATACTGGAAGAAAGATTGGAACAGTTTTATTCTGCAGTGGGACTCTGACCTTAAACTTACAACCAGTTGCAAATACGAAGAGCATGTTACTACAGCAAAAGGTGTTTCTGCATTGTATTGACTTAGCAGATAGCAGGTAATATTACCATTAAGGACCAGAAGCGCTCGCAAATCACTGAAATCTTTAAACACTTGAGATCCCTTTAAAAACTCTTAACTGCTCATTTTAATAGCACAGACAGCAAATCCACCATAATGTGAAGGACAGTTACAACTTGGTTTTGTTTAGGAGAGTAAAAGAACGTTGATTAGCTTATCGTGTTCATGTGTCAGAGCAGAATGGCCTAAGTCACTTTTATATTTGCTATAGAATCAGTGTCGTCTTACTTTATTGAAAACTTGTTGTCTAACACATCTGGTTGAACTTTCTGTCACATTATCAATACAAAATTCCAATATTAAAAATGTTTTTTTCTTGTTTTCCAAAAACATCTGAATATGACTTAAGTAATTATGCTGTTAGACTACCTACATGTAAATGACTGCTACTTTAACATGATCTTTTCAGAGATACCTGTTTCTACTTTGTTGGTGTAACACAAATCATTTAAAATCAAGATGTTGGTGAAAAGCTAAGTGCAGCTCTGCACACTGTGGAAACTCCAGTGTTGTTCCTGTGGACAGGCAAAGGTTATAAATGACAGAAACCACAGATTAAACTCATAATTGAGACATTCAGTTACAGTACAGCTTCCAACCTCTGGTCGCAGTAAAGTGTTCATGAGCTGTTTAATGTAATAAGCAGAAGAACTAGCCTGCCGCAAGGGTTTGAAGGTTATGAAGTGGCATTTAAAATGAAAACATGGAGACAAAAGTGGCACCGTTCTGCCCTGTATTTATTTATTTAACAAAATATTTAATTTGAAACTTATTTACATTAATTTATATTATGAGAAAATAATTTTATTCATCTAATTTCCCAATTTTTCACTTTTATTGAGCCGTTAATTTCAGTCTTGTGGAAGTTAGGTTTGTTCCATGAATTTCTTTTTGCCTATTCAGAATCTTGTATGTGCATGTTTACATATATATGATAAAGAAATGCTTATTAGACATATAAATTGAACATTAATCCATCCAGACATTGAATGTAAATCAAACCAGACTGAGACCAATTAGGTAAACCATTAGGATGTTAATGGAAGCTGGAACTTGAAGCTGGGAATGACGTCATGTCCCAGTTCCCCAATTCGCCATTGTTCATAAAGCGATCACTTTCCATAAGCACACTAATTTGTTCATATTAGAGTTGCAGGTGCTGCATGTAACACTGATTCCAGACACACTCTTGCAAGTGTTTCTTACAATATCAACATGTTTCCACCACAGCTATTATTCATGGAGCTGCCTTTTGGATCTCAAAGTCGGAGTTTGAAAAATCCCCAGACTTTCAGAGTGAGACTGTGTGAATTCAGGGGGAAATGTTACAATTTAATTTTGTGGCTCAGAAAGCAGAATTTCCCTGTTTGTACTACAAATGGAACGGAGCAGAATTGACAAAAACGGGTTGGGGCCAAAAGTGAAAAAGGTTAAGAAGCCCCGGCTAACGGTGATAAAAATGAACAGTTTGGGTAATTTTATTTATTTAAAAAGTACAAAACTTAGTCTAAAATGTTATTAATTATATATGACCTAATTAGACTTAATATACAATGACATAATTGTTGGCGTAGAGGGAATAACGTGAAGAAGTGACATCATGTCTTTATGGAAATTAGCGCCGGTGAAGCCACTCCCTGCCCCGGTGACATCAGACGGAGCTCGGCAGTTTCCTCTGGAAGCCTCCGGGGCTGAAGCGGTGCACACACACACACACACACACACACACACACGCATCCAACACCAGGAGGGAGCCCGAGAATTACGACTGCTCGGCTGTTTTCGCTCTTCGTCTTGGTTTTATTTTAGGAGAAATAAACCCAAGAACTCCTCCTCCTCTCAGGCAGGTAAGATTTTCAGCTTCTGTAATTTCTCATTTCCCTCCATGTTTGTTGGAGAGGCTTTTTTTTTTCTTCTTTTTGTCGCGGAGAGCAGAATGTTACTCCACCTGGGAGCGACTGTAACTTTTCACTGTGGGAAAGGCAGCGCAAGCAGTGCGCATTTTTCATCTGCGAGGGAAGAAAACGAGAGTGAACCGACATCTGTTGGATTTCCACAGTCTTTTTTTAAATCCTCCTTGTACTTTTACACAGAGGCTCTACGTGGCTTCTTCTTCTCGTCTGTCTCTGAGTGGAACCGCTGTAGCCTCTCCAGATCGTAGCGGTGTAAAACTACAGTTTTTGCTCGAAAGCAGGGATTCTTAATCTCGTACGTTTAATCCATCCTTAATTTCAAACGCGCTCCTAAAGGCATCTTAGGCTCCGGTAAGCTGTAATAAACATAAGTAGCGGTGTCACAACCTGATGGGTCTCCCCGTATGCTGATGGTCTGTCTTTAGCTCAAGTGGGGGTGTGGAGGGGTGCACGGTTGCCATGGCATCCAGAGAAACACAAGAACAATTTTAAGTGATTCAACATCATCATCATCATCGATTATTCTTTGCAGCATCCACAACCCTCACTCATTTTGGCTCAAAAAGCCCCCCGATCATCTTCTACGTCTTTGCAGGATTTAGTCCAACATGTGAAATCTCCTCAAGTTATTTTGGTTTTACATTTTATAATGTAGCCACACAAAATAACGCAATTCTTTATTCAGTTTATTTTTTTTTTTTGCTTGGCAAACAGAATGCTTCAATACATTAGAATACAGTTGCTTTAAGATTTTTAAAAAAAGAATCAATACCTAAAATCTTGAGTACTTGAGAGAACCTCTAAAAAACAGGCATTTAGAGCAAGTTATTATCTAATGTCTTCAGCTCTTAGTTGTTATATGTGGTCACCATAAAGGAAACTAAATGGCAGCTCTGGATTGGCTGTTTTCTAAATGTCAAGTAGCACTGCTATTGTATTTCACATTTTCTTGCTGCGTTTTCTTTAAAATATTTTAAAAACGCCGCAGTAAAAATCTGAAAATAGGCCATTTTTCTCACAAACATTTTAGAGTTATTTTCCACTGAAAAATTCACAAATATCGAACCGTGAGTACACAGGGGTCCACAGAAATATTGTTGTAAAAATATTTGCCAAAAAGTGTATTTGGTAAAAAACAAACAAACTGTGATTTGTTTTTGTTTTTCATTGATATTAGAGATGCACAAATGAAAAGCCTGGAGAGTGGAATTGACTTATTACTCCTTGATTGGTGATTGACAGATCAAATATTGACCACTCAGAATTATTTTCTTATTTATTACATCTAGGTACTCCAACCATTTTTGTCTACAACTGACAGAATATAGTTTGATTCATTTTTATAGTAATATTTTAATAAATATCTGACACAATGTGCAGCCTTACACCGATTTATCAATATGTTGTTAGTGCAAAATCAGCATTCATAGCATGGCAAGGGACTGTTTAGAATGACGCAACTGTTGACTGTTGTACTCTTGGTGTCATGTGTTCACACACTGCAAGCCATTTCAATATTTGACCTTTGAGAGTCAGGTGATGGTCACCCACACCCGACTCGGACCACAGTCTACCTAACATGCTAAACGTTTAGTTGTCTCTCTGCTTCAGCACAACTCGCTCAAATATCAGCCCATTAGCAAAGCTCTGTACAGCTGGACTGCATGCTAGTGATGCAGGTTCACAATTTAATGCCAGTAGACAAGGGACACATCTAGAAGTTGCAGGACTTTGGCCTTCAGGGGCAATTTAAGACCAAAGAGCGTAGGAAGCAGGAGAGAAAATGAGCCCAAAAGAAATCGTCAACTAAGGCATACCTAACTCAGGATAAGAAACCAAAACTGACCTCACACAATGAACACACACAGGGGAATTTATTCAAAAAGGCTAACCTACACAAACGAGGAGGGGTGGGAGAGAAGACAAAGACAAACAATGCATAAACATAAACAGCTAATTCAAATCAACACATTCTGACTACAACACGACTGTAAAAACAGAACAACCTAACACCAAAAATGTTTCAGCAATCATGCCATCAGCAGCGAGAGGTAGCTTCTTCAACAGCAAGTCCCCCGCTTCCAGCAGCCTGATGGATCGTTCCACTTCCTGGTTTGCCTGACAACTAGTCCCTTCCCCCAGTCAGACCTTCAAACTCAGCAAAACAAAACAAGTTGACCATTAAATTTTTTCTGTGCGCCGCACTTTTGTAAGTTTTTCTGTACGCCAAGGTTTAGTGTGAAAACTGTCTTCTTCTGGACTGCCCTGAGTTTAGCTGAACCCATCATCCTGATCAGCTTCAACAAACTTCTCTGTCCCGGCTGAAGAAAAACATCCCCACATCATGATGGTGCCACCACCATGTTTCACAGTACAGCTTTTCTCATTGGGTGACTTCTGAAGGCTGCACTGGACTTTAATTAACGCTGTCAGAGCAAAATGCAAACCACACTGCAGATTTTTATTAGTTGGTTTTACTCAAACAGGAGGAAGTGCTTTGTTTATTGGGAATTGTTTTCTGTGTAATTATAATATTTCTTTGTACACTGGATATATTTTAGATAAGAATGCTGGAGCCAACTGAGAATAAGCAGTAGTGTTTGTGACTTATTTGACTCGGACAGTCGCAGACCGCTTTGTCCTCGAATAAGAAGGTTTGAGCAGTAAATTTGTTTCAGTTCAATTAGTTGACGAAGCTACAATAGTTAAAAACACGCATGACCTCATCAGATTTCAGCAAAATGTCCTAATGCACAGAGCTCTCAAGGAATAAATGAAGGAAATCACCTTCTTCTATTATCAACTATAGTGATTAAGCTCAGTTATTGTGAAGATTATATTTAATGTGTTCATGATCAGCATATTTGCTGCTTGCGTTGGTAGTTGAGTCCAGTAACAACTCACTGAGGTCGTCAGTGACATTCCCACCCATGGCTGCACCGTCAGTTTGATCAGTGAATGTCTCTGCCAGGACTGAGCTGCATCTGCAGGCTTGTGAGAATCTGTGACATGTTATCACCCTTCTCTCATCGAAAAGCCCAATCTTGCGTTTTAGCTGGCCTTGAATGGAAGCCTTTGTGTGGACGAGCGCATGTGATTCCAGATAAAACTTCACATTCGCCCCCTTCCCTCCTGGGGTGAGTGTGCGTGTCCTGTTGTTGAGTCCCCCTGGTTCCAGCTGATTACCATGTGAGTCATGACAGCGAGGGCCTCAGATGGGCAGCTGGTGACTGTCACACACCCCCAGCCCAGGGCCGTCGTCGCCTGCTTCTGCTTTACGTGTCAGGGAATGAAGCAGGTCCATTCATAGCAAGAGTAAGTCATCACGGAGCCCGGCCTTCCCCAGTCCTCACGCTGGACGCATCAGCTGACTGCTCACTGCTGGTGCTGTTACCTGCTGTCAGAAAGGAAACATCAGCTTGATTTGCATATCACTTTACTCACCGGCCACGTTATTAGGTACACCTTACTAGTACAGGGTTGGATCCCTTTTGCCTGTAGAAGGGCCTTAATCCTTCATGGCGTAGATTCAACCAGGTACTGGGAATATTCCTCAGAGAGTCGGGTTCATATTGACATGATGGCTTCACGCTGGAGTCGAAAGCCAAATAAAATAGATGGGTTTTAAGACGAGCTTTAAAAGTGGACAGTGGACAGACCTTGCCTATTTTTCTTGTTCAGACAAATATCAGCATACAAGATTATGATCAGAAATTGTTTTGGGGGACCTGTTTCACACCGTTTGAGCTTAAACAAATCGTTCTTGAATTCGTCCATCAGGTGTACGATCCTAATTCCACTATTTCACACATCAACTTTCCCTAATGAGAAGAATCCAATTTAGTGTTTGATTGGATATTGGAGTCACCACCACATACTGAAGGTCCCTTTGTTGTTGCTACTTCCAGGATCAGAAATAGGGACTTACTGTTTATGCAGGGACCAATCCTGCCTGGTCAGGATGGTAGTAATGGTACCATCAGTGTTCCAGATAGTAAAATCCACTTCACCTCCCAGAACTATGGGAAGAGTAAAAACCAAGTTCAAAACCCGGTTTGTTCCAACTACATATGTTTCCTCCAATGAAACATTTTGGTCTTTGTCTCTTTTAAATTTAGATAAGACTTTCCACATTTTACTGGACTATGTGAACCATTAATGTTGGTTGACCTGCTACTCATCTAAATTATATTCCTTAGTTATAACACACAGATCAATGGGCTCACTCTTGTAAACACTGAACACATGAAAGAGTCAACATCAAGACCAAGCAAAACTCAAACTGAACTCCTAACTTCCCAGGTGAGGGTCTCAGTGTGAACCTGCTTCACTTCCTCATCGGCTCTGGCCTCGGTGTAGAAAGTACTCCTCGCTTATTTACTCATTATGTACCATAAACGAAATGCGAGTCTTAATTATTAATGACAGTGTGGATAAACCATTTCACTGGCATACCTCACCCTCTGATCAGCTGGAAAGAAGATCTGGAAAGGGATCTGCTTCTCTCCCAGGATCTTGCACACGACTGCGTATTCTCTTCATCTTTTCCAAATCGCTTGCTACTTTCTGCAGGTTTACAGACAGGCTTTCACCGAGACGTTTGTTTGCACTCTGTGGTGTGTGCAGCTTTGTTCCTCTGCCGGACACACGATTCTGGATTCCTGTTTGTTTCCGGACGCACGAGGCCTCGTCAGTGTTGAGTCAGCAACAGATGCTTTGTGTCTCTCATCCATAATCTCCTACTTGTGTGCGGATCCCAGATCAAATTAATAGTCTGTTTGATCAGTGCTTGACTATTGAGTCCAGGTCAGGTACAAAACATACAGAACAGAGAAAACCAAACGAGACACTGCGCTGTGCTAACCTACTTATTATACGGCAAATAGAGAAGTAGACAGCTTAACCAGTTGACAATCTGTTGATGAAGAAGGGTG